CTCTCTCTCTCTCTCTCTCTCTCTCCCCCCACAGTGCCCCCCAAATAGAGGGGGGTCGGCGGCACCTGGGCGCTAGCCCATTCTATAGGCTCTCAATATTGTCCCAAGAAGTCTCAATGAGGTTCATTGATCTTCGGTTTCTTCATTGTTCATCTAAGCTGGGGACGCTTTGTCATCTCTTTGCGGCAATCGGAAGTCCATCTTCACACCATCTCCAGTGAGTCCACAAGCGCAACTCGGTTGCAGCTGACGGAAGAGGCCACGGACCTTTGCTGTTTCATTGCTCACATAGAGGGCCAGCACGAGAAGGCTGCCAGGAATCACCCCAGCGTTCAACACAAGGGCAACATAGAGGCTGATGTGCAAAGGGCTGGAACCTTCACAGGCCACAAAGGGGAATTCCTTCAAATAGGAAGCCTTCAGCAATGGTATGTCATCCCTATCATTGCTTGTGCACATGAAGTTGGAGACGGTAGCCTGGATTGTACCAACGAACAGCATTGAAGTCACAAAGATGCAAAACTTCAAAGCCCAGAACGGACTGCCACGGCAGAAAGCTGCTAGCAAACCCACCATGCAGAGCAAAGGCAAGCAGAAGGCTGAGGACAGTGCTTCAAGGATTCGACCATTCTCATAGCCCAGAAATCCACATTGCACTGAGATTGAGTAGAGCAAATCTCCAAGCTTCAATTGCACTGGGCTGTCCAGCAGCTCCTCCATAGTGCTCTGCGCGGTCTTCAGAAGCTGAATGACGGAAAGAAGGAGAAGACACTGCTCTTTGAACTCCTCCATGCGATCGCTTTCTGCATCCTTCTCTCCTGGCTTCGTCAGAAAGATCAGGAAACACATCATCGCAAAAAGGCCCACTCCGTAAGCAACCACCACAATCCAAGGCAACCAACTGGGAGTTGTCTCACATTCTTGGCATTCATCATATGAGTCAGAGTTTCTGGAGATTCGCTGCTGATAGCCTTGCACACACGATCCACAAAGCACGCCTTTATAGCCTGTGCTGCAGCTGTCATGTTGGCAGGAACTCACGTCACAGCCCCGGCCATAGCAACTGAGGCAAGCAGAGTCGCCAGAGTTAGCAGAGCTGTCCTGAAAGTTGACTCGGGTCTTGCCTTCTGGGCAGCCGCAGCACTCTCGCTTTGGGGGTAAGGGCTCAAATCCATTGGTGCACTTGATGCAGTTCGTTCCAACTCCAGCAAAGCCATCCACACAACTGCAGAGTTCCTTAGGAGCAAAGTCCTCAGGTGTTATCAGCACAATGGATTTCTCTGCCGATGGCTTCACTGGCCTCACCTCCTTGCAGGTCCAGGTACCGTTGGTGATGGGCTTCACTTCACTCAAGATTGGCTTCTCGGCAGCCTCAGGGGAAGCCGAAGCAACTAGACAAGTTAGACAAGTCCTACTGTCACAGGAGCCCTTTGCTCCTTGGGTCCTTGAAAGAAGAGGTTTTGACGTTTAGGCCAAATCAACTGACTCAACTGGACCTTAGAAGCAAACTGCTTTCTCAAGTGACAGGCACTACCGACATGACACGCAGGCCGCACAATTGTATAACAGCGTCCCAGCCTGAACGCTGCCGTTTGCCGTCATGATCATTCCTCTACCGTTGACTTGGGTATTTCGAATGTCCAAGACCTTGGTTCCACCAAAGTACGATTTTGCAATGTCCTTCAAGTTGGGGTTGTTGCTGACATCCAAATGAATGTTTCTTGGCCCCCCTCGAAGGGCAGTGATGTTGTTCTTGGAGAGGTCAAGGGTACGGACTTGCCACATCAAAGGGTAGTTTCCTGCGCTGTGGATGCCTTCGAGAGGGCCAAAGAGACCACACTCCGACGCTGCCACGTCACAGAGGTGATAATTGGCCTTTGCAAAGGGATAGATGAATTTCCAGACCTCCATGTCCAATGGACTTCCGGACACGTCCAGCTTGGTCAGTTTGGGGAATGCAAGATCTGCCTCGTTTTCTGGGATTGACATGTTGAACTTCACCATGCTGTGCTGCAGCATGAGCTCTTTCAACTGTTTGCTGATGCCCTCCTTACCTTTCCCCTCATCTCTGATCTCTCCGGAGATCTGGGTGTGCCCCAAATTCAAATATTCCAACTTGGGGTGTCTCTTCAACAGCTCCACAATGTCTCCAGTGACTCTGGTATTTTGAAGCCAAAGGCCTCTCAATGGTGATGATTCGTTGAGACCCACGGTAGAGAGATCTCCTGTCACAGACTTGACACCTTGCAAGTCCAAAATTTCCAGCTGTTCCCAATTCAGATCGTCCAATTTGCCATGGATCTTCGTTCCGGAGAGTTTCAGAGCCGTCAAGCTGTGCGTTTGGAGATCCTTCAAGTCTGCCTTTACATCGCACCAACGCATTTGAAGCCTTGAGAGCCCACTTGGCATGTTCAAATCCTTGAGGTCACCCGAGATGTTCGAGCCGTCCATAACGAGTTCCTGAATCCCGGGTAGGCCCTCAAGTGCCTCATTGAGATCCCTGATGGTCGCATTCGATTTGCTTTTGATGCCAATGCTCTTCACCGTGCCATTATCACAGGTCACATCGAAATGAGGAGCAATCAAAATCTTGTCTGATGAAGATGAACACTTTTCGAGCACCTCGTCGATGGTGGGGTGCTGGGGTTTGTCTCGGACCCAGAGGCGTATCAGCTTCTCGAGAGCCTGCAAGTTGAATATAGAACTGCTGCACATGCTGAAAATAATACATCTACTTAGAAGCAACTGATCCCATCTGTTTGTCACCACTATTCTGCAAACATCCCATCCCTCACTCCCTCACCGTCCATCACACTTTGTTTGTCTCGTCGCATCAATTGAAACGCATCAAAATGACAGGCTCCCGAAATCTCCCGAACCTCCTTCATCCGTTTTTTTGTAGGCCCCTTTGTTTCGACTGAGAATTTGAACGTGGCATCCTGGCGCTGCGTGGAACTCACAACAAATCACCACGAATCACGTCAAACGTCATCGCAAGGAGTCGCGTTTCGTGCAATTTCGTCCCTTCGACACCCCACCGGCCTCCTGAGCAAAACTGCTACCGGTCACTTCGGCAAGACTGGACTCTCCGGAACCAAGGACCTCTGCCTGCCACGGGGTGACTTCTGCACGTGACTTCTACCTGCTGTTTACCTGGCCCTCACCTTTTTCTTGTGGCAAGTGAGAAAACCACAAAAATACAAGAGAAAAATGAATCTCACAAAGACACTGAAAGAAGAGAAAAGCAGCCACTGACTTGGGTCAGAATGGAAAAATTCTCAGTCGCCACTTTCTTTCAAGGGAAGGGTTGGTTGCACAAATCTTTGCCAAGTCGCTTTGTCGGTGTCCAGAATGCCATCCTCGTAGGAGCTTCCCTGAAAAGGGCAAGTTGGTGCTCTCAGTGTAACCCAGAAGATCGTTGCTTCCGAAACTAGGAGTGAAAAAAAAAACATGTCGTGTTGCATGACAGTTTGCATGACAGGTCTGTGCCCAATTCCAGCCACAAAAGTCATATGCGGATGCCTCTGTGAAGTGGAAGGTGTGTTCTGGCCGATGTCCCAACGAAGCCACCAAGGTCGAGATCACCAGCCAGCTACTAGTGACCATGTACAGCCCATCCAAATTGCGGATGGCAAGTAAACAAACAACCGAACACTCAAATGCTTCTAGCACAGGTTTGAACAGCAAATTGCTCCAATTTCACACAGGTTCACTATTCACAAAATGCCGAAAGCATCAGCGAAATCGCATGAGAATCTGAACAGAACAACGCACAGAATTGGCAACCACACAATGCGCGACAGGCATGACCATGTGCGCTCTCAAGCTCCAGGCCTCACAAAATCAGCGTAGTCTTGGACTGGTTCGTTGAAAATGATATTGCAGAGTTCGTCTCTGAATACGGTTGGTCTCGCTCTGCCTCCAAAACTGCATCCCTCACAGCCTCAGTCTCGATGAACAGTTTTAGACCATATTTCAGGGTGCACTTGAAGTTTCTATGGCGAACTGTACAGTGTTGCAACATTTCCTTGGCGTGGAGGAGTTGGCAGAACAATCCGGCCGCTTTAAGGCGTGATGTTTCTCCATCGTTCCATACAGTTCAGGCGGCTGTTGTTTCCATAGTTTGCTCATGTCCAAAGCTATCTTTTGGGGAACATATTCGACTTTCTGCTCCGCTCTCCTTGTTCTTCCCTTTTTCCGGCTTCTGTGGGACACACGCCAAGACTAGAAGAGTGTTGGTTCTTGTCAAAAAGTGATGTAAAATGCCTCTAGAGGAAGATCTCTTCGAAGCAACCAAATACTCATAAGTTATTCCTGAGACGGCAGCCTGAAGTACTCGGAAGCCTGCAGGAACCTTCCTCTAGTTGACTTCATGTTTCCCGACTCTACTTTTTCAAACCCTCATTAATTAAAGCCAACTTTGCAACCCATTAGTGGGTTCCAGGCTGATTTTGGGTTTCCGAGACCCAGAGATTGAAACCCAACACGCACTGCTGTTGAGAATAAAGTCTGAAGTGTAAAATTCAAGAGTCCAGGATTTCAAACTCCCAGATTTCAGAAAGAAGGTACCAGCATCGGGTCAGTTGTCCACACAACTCTCATTGCTACCCAAAACGGATAAGTGACAAGTCTAAAGAGTTTGAAATAATATGTACATATACATAATATCCGCCGACCCCGGCAGACGCAAGGGGGAGCGCGCCAGGGAATAAGACAGACCCTTGTCGGACGACTACTACTACTACTACTACTACTACTACTACTACTACTACTACTACTACTACTTTCACTACTACTGCTACTACTACTACTGCTGCTACTGCTACTGCTACTGCTACTGCTACTACTACTACTACTACTGGTACTACTACTACGGCAGCAGCTTACAGCAGGAGCAGGGCAGCAGGAAGGCCATGTTTGACACAGTTTTTCTACGGTTAGCAGCAGCAGCAGCAGGAGGCTCAGGTGTAGCCTTGTTTAGAGCAGTTCCAGACTGTCCGGGAGGTGCGTCTTTTTAAAGCAATTTGTTGGCTAAAAGATGTGGCAAGCAGTTGCAGCAGCCGCAGCAGAAGCAGCGCAGCAGCAACAACCAAAGTAGCAGCCAAGCAGCTTACAGCAGGAGCAGGGCAGCAGGAAGGCCATGTGGACAAACAAGTTGCCAAGAGCTGCCAAGAGCTGGAAATTTATGTTTTGTAACCAGAGTTTCAGAAGGGACGTTAGGCCTTGTGGATTATCATTGCAGGGCACCATTCCGTCCCTCAGTGCCATGGTGTTTTCCTATCCGGGAGGTGCATTTTTTTAAGGCAATTTATTGGCTAAAAGATGTGGTAAACAGTTGCGGGCTGCAGAGGTGGCAAACAGGTGCAAAATGCTGCCAAGAGCTGTCAAGAGTTGGACCTTGTGTTCTTTAATGTTTTTCAACTAAGGTTTCAGAAGGGACGTTAGGCCCCGTGGATTACCATTGCAGGGCACCATTCAAGTGGATCCACGGCACAGGGATCGGGGATGACGCCCGGCTCTGCGGTGCTACCCTGTGCGCCATGGAATGTGTCGGCAAAGTCCGGAGCCAGCGGGAATTGATAGCGCGTTACCTTGAGCTTTGGCGTCGTGCGTCCAGCAGCCAGAAACCATTCCTTGCTTTGAGCAGCGGAGCAGCAACAACCGAAGTAGCAGCGGAGCAGCTTACAGCAGGAGCAGGGCAGCAGGAAGGCCATGTGGACACAGTTGTCAAGAGCTGCCAAGCGCTGGAAATTTATGTTTTTTAACTAGGGTTTCAGAAGGGACGTCAGGCCTCGTGGATTGTCATTGCAGGGCACCATTCCGTCCCTCAGTGCCATGGTGTTTTCCTGTCCGGGAGGTGCGTTTTTTTAAGGCAATTTGTTGGCTAAAAGATGTGGCAAGCAGTTGCAGCAGCCGCAGCAGAAGCAGCGCAGCAACAACAACCAAAGTAGCAGCCGAGCAGCTTACAGCAGGAGCAGGGTAGCAGGAAGGCCACGTGGACAAGTTGTCAAGAGCTGCCAAGAGCTAGAAATTTGTGGGTTTTTTTAACTAGAGTTTCAGAAGGGACGTTAGGCCTCGTGGATTATCATTGCAGGGCACCATTCCGTCCCTCAGTGCCATGGTGTTTTCCTGTCCGGGAGGTGCGTCTTTTTAAGGCAATTTATTGGTTAAAAGATGTGGTAAGCAGTTGCAGCAGCCGCAGCAGAAGTAGCGCAGCAGCAACGACCAAAGTAGCAGCCGAGCAGCTTACAGCAGGAGCAGGGTAGCAGGAAGGCCATGTGGATAAGTTGCCAAGAGCTGCGAAGAGCTGGAAATTTGTGTTTTTTAACTAGGGTTTCAGAAGGGACGTTAGGCCTCGTGGATTATCATTGCAGGGCACCATTCCGTCCCTCAGTGCCATGGTGTTTTCCTGTCCGGGAGGTGCGTCTTTTTAAAGCAATTTGTTGGCTAAAAGATGTGGTAAACAGTTGCGGGCTGCAGAGGTGGCAAACAGGTGCAAAACGCTGCCAAGAGCTGTCAAGAGTTGGACCTTGTGTTCTCTAATGTTTTTAAACTAAGGTTTCAGAAGGGACGTTAGGCCCCGTGGATTACCATTGCAGGGCACCATTCAAGTGGATCCACGGCACAGAGATCGGGGATGACGCCCGGCTCTGCGGTGCTACCCTGTTCGCCATGGAATGTGTCGGCAAAGTCCGGAGCCAGCGGGAATTGATAGAGGTTACCTTGAGCTTTGGCGCCGTGCGTCCAGCAGCCAGAAACCATCACTTTCATCGCACCGTTGGGTACTTGGAAACTGGATGTCGAAAAATCCGCATGTCAAGTCGAATGATGATGGTGATGAGGATGAGGATGAGGATGATGATGATGATGATGATGAGGAGACACTGCGAAGGGGCTGCTGCGTGAAGAGGCGCACAAGGCATGTGACGAGAGTTCACTTGGGGGGGTCCCTTTCTCCTGGTCGTTCAGGGATAAGGGGTCCAGCCCGCCCCTTTGCTTCGCAAAGTAAAACTCAAGGTAGCCCGCTAGGAGGCTACCTTTCGTGATATATATATATATATCTGTGTGTGTGTCACTATTTTGTGGCAGGAGACTGCTTTGTAAGTGAGTTCGCTGCAAAGCCAGGAATCGATGGCCTGGAACAAAGCCACCTCAAATCCATTGGCGGATAGTACTCCTGGCGTGCTCAATCAGCTGAAGCTATTGCAGTATTTGGGCATCGTTGCAAATAAGTGCCTTCAAAAACTTCATTGCGAAGAAAAAATAGAAAAGAGTTACAACGAAAGTAAAAGAAAATAACGAAAATTTGGGTAACATGCCAAGAACGTAAGATATGTTGTTTTAGGAGCAAGTTCCCTCTATGAAATGCCCTCCGCCAAGTCTTTCGGGAACTATGTGCAAACATCTGACAATGCAAACATGTTGTACTCTATATAGAGTTAATGGAAAATGATGATTATGATAGAAATAGTTATTGACTGAACTGTGGTTCAGAATCGTGGGGCAATCCTACATTTACGTTTCAGCACTGCTTGCTCCAGCCCAAATAAGAATGATTCAAACCAATCCACTCAATGAAAGTCCGTTAGTTTTGCTTTTGCAATTGTCACAAACACGACCTGCTCACCCTGTTCAAGAGCTGAGTATGCAATGGTTCCCCTGATCAAATGGTTTTCCAACAAGAAAGTTTCCAACTGGAAATGGTTAGTGCGGGT